CTAAACATTAAAAAACTTTTAGTAATAATAGGAATAGGCAAAGTTTAATATATTATTGACCATCAATACATTATTGATCCTTCACTCCAAGGATCTTCTGCTGTACAGAACATGAAGATCAGAGTGTGCACACTGCCTGCTTTTTAGCAAGCAGTAATTAGTAAAGCACTCCTACTTGCCTATACTAGACACAAAAAGGAAGCCATGTTTCTAATTCACTATTAGTCATCATAGGTGTTTATTTGGTCTACCTTTGACAGCACTGTTTCTCTTTTAAAACCCAGATACAAACAGAACATGCTTGCTTGCCGGACTGGCACGTGTAGAGTTTTACTGACAGAAAGGAAAAAAATATTTTAAAAACAACTGGAAAGTACAATTGCAACATTATTTAAAAACAACAACAACAACAACACTTTTGCAAGTATATTCAAGGGGAGATGTCACACCTGAAACTACTTCTTTTTTAAAATCAGTGAAAGTTGATGTCACTTATGAAATAATTGAAGAATAATCTATCAACTCCATTCTAGACTACATGAATCAAAGCAGGGAATTCTTTGCCAATTTTCAGCAAGATGTGTATTCCAAACTGTACATTAGTAACATTTGTGACATGCCCTCTCAAAGAGACTGTAATTTTTGTTTCTTGAAGGAGGTTCTCTAAAAATAGGTTCCAACCACAAAGTCTTTAATTTGCCTGGGTGACTCTAGCTGCCAAAAAAATCATACCAGTAGCATCTGAAGTCTATGACTGTCATTCTGCAACACTACAGCCCTAAAGTTGGAAGATAAAGGCTAAAGAAGTCTTTATGAATGCAGTTGAGCCATGGCAAGTATTATTCTGTCGGTAGTTCCATCCCTCAGGTGCACGATTGTCGAATTTATTCTACTGACACAAACAGGCTGTACAATTTCCTACACTTCACCCGAAATACAGACTTAAGAACACAGGACTGAAGGACACCTACTGGGTCAGTGTCCAAGGGACACTGGAAGGGCGTATCATCCTTTCCATAAACTCCATCTTAGGTTTAGTTAGGTATTTTGCCTCCAGTGCTCTTCCTAGAAGACTGCTCCCAAACCTCACTGCTATGACAGTTCAGAATATGTTTTTGATTTCCAGCCTATAGCTTGATCATGGCTGTTTGTTCCTGGATCAACTTGTCCTTTGGCATAAATACATTTTTTCCACCTACCTGGTGCCAATTCCACTCCATGTATTTAGAGAGCTATCCCGACTCATTTCTCAGCCTTCATTTTGCTAGGCTACATAACACAAGTTCTTTTAGTTTCTTGGGACTGACTGGTAAAAACAGGTTTCTCTTCCCCTATAATTTCCAGGTCATGAGCTCCGAGCTAACATTTGTTATTACTGTACTAGTCAATTCCAAAACACCTAACCTTGCAATCTGTACTGTTCAATTTCATCCCATTTGTATTACTTCAGTCCTTAAGTCACCCAAATATGTATGAAATCCAGATTCTCCGCTGTACTGATGACCAGGGATCCTGGTTTATATATAGATATCTATATATTCCAGTGTTGCATTTTAATCGTGGAAAAATGTGGATTTTAGATTACTTTTTAAAATCCAAAAAAAGGGGGGGGGGGGGTTGTTGTTTTTTTTTAATCAGAGAAAACCAGAATCCCTGCTGATGATACTTCCCTAGCTTTGGGTCACTAGCAGATCTCACTAGTACACCCCTATTTCTTATGCCCATGTCATTAATGAAAATATTAAGATTCTTAAAGAATTCTACTAATTTTCCCTCCAGCCTAATAGTTCTCTTTTTGGGGCAAGCCACTGACATCTGCCATTCAGCCAGTTCCTTACTCATCTCACAGTTCATAACACTAATCATCTTCGCTAATAATTTTCCACATGGCACCATACTATATGCTCTATTGATGTCCTAACAGAGGCTATATACCACATTTTCTGTGCCTAGGAAAAAAACCCAACAGTTATCTGAAAGATATCAGGCTGGTCTGGCATGTCTGGGAGATCCATGTTACATTTTATCTTATTTTCCATCTACCTGCATGGATTTAATCTTTCTTTCCTTCCCAGACTCCAAAGATTTTCATGCTATGAAAGTCAGACTACCCAGTTTACAGTTACCTAGATTAAATGCAGACATTTGTACTTCTCTAGTTAAATAGAACCAGCCAAATATATTTTTAAAACCTTGCTATGGTGTTTATGGTTTAATGAGCCAGCTCTTTCAGCATTCTGCGGCAGAACGTGCAGGCACTCCTCAGACTTATGATAATTGGTTCCTGAAAACTGTCTTAAGTCGCAATGTTGTAACTCGGAACCAATTTTCCCATAGGAACAATGATATAAATGGGGGATTGGTTCCGGAACCAAGGCCTGAAACCTTATTTTCACCAAAAATAACCCAGTATTTTGTAGTCAATCAATTAAAGATGAGTAATACAGTTACATGAATGTATTTATATTGTAAATAGCAATCATATTGATTTGGAAGGACTTCTTTGAGGCGACTTTGCTGGACTTTTTGAAGGGCTCTTGGCTGGAGTCTTCTTGGGAGTCTTAGCTGCAGGTTTTTCTAGCATCTTCTCTGCTTTCTTAAAGAAAGTGTCCAAGGAAGTTTGGACAAATGTTCTCCAGGGAAATGGGCGACGCAACAAACTTGTTTGCTGGCATGGCGTGGCATCCGATCAAGCATCATAAAGTCAAAATTGACGTCAAAAAGTCAAAACAGGGTGTCAATTTACAAGCGTCATAAGTGCTGTGTGTTGTAACTCAAAACGTCTTAAGTCAAGGACTGCCTGTATGTGGTTTGCCTGACTTAGGCATACTGAATTATGAACTTTAGTTCTACCCCAGATGGTATCATTTTCATACCCTCATTCTCATTAGCCACCTGCCTCTGCCTCCATGTCCTTCACCATCCTTACTGAAAAATTAAGCGCATAGTTTAGTGTTTGGGTCACACCCAATTATCCGTGATCTCACCCCATCCTTATGTCAAGGCAACCTCCTTCTTTCCTAATCTTCTTATCTAGATGGCTAAAGAATTTTTTTCTATTTGTTTACTTTAAAGTTCCTTTCCAAGGTCTAGCTCAGTTTGACTTCTGCCAATTCTCCCCCTGCACTTCCTGACTCCAACACATGGCTTTCTTTACTGATCAGTCCCCTGTCTCTTCCTCCCTCCCAGTTCTTTGTAGGCTCTCTGCTTCCTGATATCATTTTAAAGTGGTTATTTATTCAGCATGGAAATCCAGACCTAACATGATTTTTCACCTTGCTTTGGATGCAAGAACCAGATATTTTTCTAGTATTTTTTTAAGTTAGAGCAATTCAACTTTGGAGTTCCAGAGATCTTCATACCAGTTGACTATTTTCCTGTATCCCTCAAAGCTTGCCCTTCTGAAATCATGGCTCTAATCATACATCTACACACCCTGAGCTAGCTCAGCATGCACTAGCTGCAAGAGTAATATTAGTTGTGTTAGCAGGGCACAACACCTGAGCTAGCCCCGCCATACTACTTGTTCCAGAGATGGCACACAGAACTAGCTGCACAGTATGGCCGTGGGCCTGACAGATGTACCTTTTGTAAAAAGGCCTGCCTTTGCTTATCTATTAGTTTAAACAGAACTGATCCAAGGCTACTTTCTATGAGCAAGTTTGCTGTTTTACACTTGATGTTTGTAAGTAATGATGACAGTATAGCTTTCTCCTCTCGTTTCAGTGATCATATGGTAAAGAAACTGATTCTCTCTCTCATATCCAGGAATATCCAGGCCCCACTACTATTACTTGCTTAAGCTACATCTGGAAACCTAATAAGTCTCCCTTAATGACAATATCTGGTCAGACTCATTGCTTTAACACTACAGGGACTTCTAACCACATCTAAATCCAAGTCCAAGGGACTGGGATCTACTCCCAGAACTACCCCAGTAAAACCTCATTTAGCATCCTTCCCATGAGTAAGGATTTCTCCCTTCACTTTAACACACATGCAAACTCACAGTGTATACACCTGTTAAGCTTTTATTTATTATACTTGGTTGGGATTATTTGCAAGAGCAGTTGCCAGGCTTCAGAATAAAAGAAAACAGATGGCAGTATTAATGAAGAGCCAAATTTCAGTCTTTTTAAAACACAAACCAGACCACAGCATCTTTCCTGTCACACATCCCAAAAGGGGTACTACAACAACATTTGGCAACAGAGTATGCAACAACTTGATGAGTGACTTAGAACTGCACTGGAAATCAGGGTACAATGGAAGAACAAAAACTATGTATGCCAAGGTGGCGGTAAATAGGTTGAAAGAAAGAAAAGAAAGAAAAAACTCCAACCACTACAGACCTAGTAACAAGTCACAACAAAAGGCATTACAACAGATATGATCCCTGAAATACTTTGAACACAGATTACACCTCCATGTCAGACAGATAATAGGAGTGAAATCTGGAAGTATTTTCAATAGTGGTAGGAAGATAATCTAACCACAGATGTTAATAACTTGGCTGCAATTTGACTCATCAGCATCTTCAAAAGGTGCTAGATTCACGCATTTCAAATTTCCTCAGTGATCAAGATCAGAGACATGACACAGCAGAAGGAAATCCAAATATTAATTATCCCCGAAAACTCAGCTGTGGGCAGTCACATAATACTAAAGTCCTTTCAATCAGTAATGTTTTAAAACTTGAATTTTTTTTTTTTAAGTTTTATTAGTTCACCATTTCCCCTCAAACTAACATTATTAAAATTAGTGAACTCCTGCCTGTTGAAATTCTTGAATTAAAAGCAAAACAGAACACCGCACAAAATTGCTCATTAAAATGGCAGTCTCTCTTGAAAAAAATATAGTTGTAAATATTTGATGTTTTAATGCACTGGACCTAGACAAAGAACAACCTGACTTAACTCTTAAGTGGAAACTTTAGAACAGCAATGGGAACCATAGACTGAAATTTAGGGCAAGTCCAATACTTTGCATATAGTACTTACTGCGGAATTATGTCAAGTATTGACCCTCTAACTCCTCCTAATCCATAGGTCAACTCCCACCAATGCCTGTGGTATCAAGTGTAGGCTGGAAAGCAAACCAAACATTTCCCATTTTTATGTATACTCAGTGCATATTAAACTGTCTAACTAGCGATTAGGTGAATTCTTATGATCATGAAAACATGCGTGTTCACAAATAAAGCAATAGTTACCATATCTTAAATATCTTTTCAAGTCACTGAAATTTGGCAAAGTGCTTCCTCAGCTTTTTTCTTCTTCTTCCCTCAAACTAATTTTATACTCACTATTATACCATTATTTTAAAAAAGCCAAAAATCACACTCTCAGTGGCTAGATGCCAGTTTTATTTTTGCATGCACAAGCAGCAGCAAAATATGACATCTTGCCCTTTCACTTTGATGCTCCAAACCATCTTTGACATGCAGTTGACCATACACTGGGCCATTTAGGAACATACTAGAGACAATTCCAAATTCCTAAAAAGAATCATCTGGAGACAGCCATGACAACAGCATTGAAGGATCAGCCACAACTTTGTATCTTTTGAAATAAAAGCTAAAAATAGTTATATTTTCTGTGACTTTCCTAGACACTGAACAATATCTATATAGATATATACACATGCACTATTTTGGGTAATGAGAGATGGTAGGATGCAGTGATGCAAAAATGTTTAGTCCAGCACTTTCTTGCCCACAACCTAGTTATGATCTTGCTTTCCCCACCCCAAACAGAACTTTTGTAAGTGGATGATCAAAACAATCTCATCTTTCTCAGGTGATGGCAGCAATGTGTAGCCACTCTAATATGATAGCATTCTCCTGAAGATGTAAGTAATTAAAAGTTGTCAGAGGTCCACAATTCAGGATGCATTGTTCTCACACACGCACCTTATTTTTGCCTTATTCCCAAAAAGTCATTTGACTTAAGGCAGAGAAACATGTAACAGTAAAGTGAAAATGACGTTTATTATGTGGTTAGAAGTTAAAAGGCACTATAAGCTGCTTATGGCTCTATATTACCACTTGTGACATCTAGGGTGACTTCTGTGTACAGAGTGCTCTGTGCATGTTTTACAGCACTGTAATTTAGAACACTTTTTATAGCACTATAAAGTTATAGCACTCTGAAACATGACAGAAGTGCAGTGTTTGGTGGGGGAGGTGCCTCTGAGCCTCCTTGTACTTTCCAGGCTAGGAGTAAAGGGGTACTTTTCAGCCTCCTGGGGCTTCATCACTGGTCAGAAATCTGACCAGCCTACAGAAGCTATTTAAAGCGCTGTAAATATTTACAGCTGAAGTGCTGTAAAAATACAGTGTTTCGAATTTAATACGTTATTTAACAAGGGTTAAAAATGGGTACGGCACTTTAAAAGTGCTGTAAAGCTGTGCACTTCTGTTAAGTTACAGTAATAAAGCATTTTAAATGGCGACAAAAGCAACTTCTGTGCACAACCCTGATGTTTATTACATATTCTCCACTTCTAAAAAACAAAAACAGTGCATTACTCTAAGTGTGTGCTTAGTGTATAACACTATTCTGGTATGATTTGCAATGAAATGAGTATTTCACCAATTAAGAAAAACTTACATTCTACAAACATCCAACAGTATTCTGTTCAAAGATACTAATTGTTAAATAAGAATTCTGCATAAGTCAACTTCATTACATAATCCAAGTTATATATTTGTACTACTAAATACTGTAATACACAAATTCTCCAAAATTAGGCACTTAACTTAATCCAGGCTATGGATTAATAGATGTACCCAACTCACATTGGGAATTCTCTGTCAATATAGCTACCTTAAATATATGCATTAATCTTTACTAAAAATTCCTTTAAAATAAGTTATTTAAAAAGTTACTACAGTAACTTATTCTTCTAGTGTAACACTATTACCTCTAAAGGTGTCCTCCAAGGTAACACTTAGGGTGTTGAAGGGAAAAAAAAAAAAAACTAGTCAGTACAACATTTTCAGATAAATGTGATTTTTTTTTGACAGAATCCCTCTGCGACTGAGGTTCCTGGCTACATTTAGAACTCATCTTATAGGATTTGTTCTTTTCAACAGAGCAAGGAAACTTCTTGAGAAGTTAATCTTTAAGAATTTAAGGATCCAAAATTAAACTTTAAAGGGATGCTGGAATTGTAAGTAAGATTACTTGATATTTTATTAAAAGAAAAAAAATGGAGTAGTGAAAAAAGCGACATGGAAAAAATATTCTTCTCTGAACCCATTTTGTTTTTCTGATCTCCTTTCAGGGACAGACTATTATCATATTTTGTGGTCAAACCAGTTACTTTGTTCAGTGAGTTTGTAATCTCAAGCAGGCCAGTAGAGTCTTATAGATACTCATCTTTTTCTGGCTATGCATCAAGAAAGACTACATGAATCACAGCTTATCCTAGTTTTGTAAGTGAATATTAATTTAACTCTTGTATTGGCATTTATCACTCACAAGCTTCATTCTAAAGATCAGCAGAGTCTATGACAGGGGCGGGCGATTATTTTGGGTGGAGGGCCACTTACTGAGTTTCAGCAAGCCATCAAGGGCCACAAGATAGGCAGCCAGGGACAGATAAATATTAATTTTCTAAAATTTTTAGGGGCCCCACAGGCCGGATAGAATGGCCTGGTGGGCCACATCCGGCCCACATTTTGCCCACCCCTGGTCTATGCTCTTACCATGTGGTGTCTGCCATTATGACCATGTATCTAACTTTTACTGGGGTTGGTAACTATGGCATACTTTAAACAAGAGCATGACAAAAGTAACGCTTCATAAAAATAATTACTGCTCTTCTCCAAAGACAGCAAAACCAAGTAAACGGTGTTTGTGCTTTTCTCTGCTGAGAGTTTATAGTTTCATAGCTGGTAGGGTCGGAAGGGACCTGAGCAGATCATCAAGTCCAACCCCCTGCCATGGCAGGAAAAATTACTGGGGTCAAACAACCCCAGCGAGGTGTTCATCTAACCTCCTCTTAAAGACCACCAGGTTAGAAGCCAGCACCACTTCGCTTGGAAGCTGGTTCCAGGTCCTAGCCGCCCTGACTGTGAAGTAGCGCCTCCTGATGTCTAGTCTGAATCTACCCTCTGCCAGTTTGTGACTGTTATTTCTAGTCACTCTTGGTAGTGCTCGTGGGAACAGAGACTCTCCCAATACCTGCTGGTTCCCTCTGACTAGTTTGCAACAGGCCACTAGATCCCCCCTCAGCCTTCTCTTGTGGAGGCTGAACAGGTTCAGGTCCTTCAGCCTCTCCTCATAGGGCCTGCCCTGCTGCCCCCTGATCATGCAGGTGGCCCTCCTCTGAACCCTCTCAATGCTGTCCACATCTCTCCTGAAGTGCAGCGCCCAGAACTGGACGCAGTACTCCAACTGCGGCCTGACCAGTGCCGCATGGAGGGGGAGGATCACCTCCTTGGACCTGCTCGAGATGCATCTGTGGATGCATGACAAGGTGTGGATGGCCTTCCTGACAGCATCCCCACACTGTCGGCCCATGTTCATTTTGGCATCAATAATGATTCCAAGATCCTTTTCTGCCTCTGCACTGATGAGAAGGGAGTTCCCCAGTGTGTAGGTATGCTGCTGGTTCTTCCTCCCCAGGTGCAGCACCTTGTACTTGTCAGTGTTGAAACCCATCCTGTTCTCATCTGCCCACCCCTGTAACCTGTCCAAGTCCAATTGCAGCCTATTCCTCCCTTCTAGTGTGCCCACATCCCCCCACATCTTAGTGTCATCAGCAAATTTGAATAGGGTGCTTTTTACCCCATCGTCCAAGTCGCTGATGAAGATGTTGAACAGCGCGGGTCCAAGGACCGAGCCCTGGGGGACCCCAATGCCCACATCCCTCCAGGTCAAAAGTGACCCATCCATCACCACTCTCCAGATGCGGCCCTCCAGCCAGTCAGCGACACATTTAACTGTGTAGATGTCAACGCCACAGTCCCCTAGTTTTTTAATGAGAATGGGGTGAGAGACAATGTCAAAGGCCCTCCTGAAGTCCAGAAAGACTACATCCACTGCTACCCCTGTGGCTAAGGCTTTTGTGACCTGGTCATAGAAGGCCACCAGGTTGGTCTGACAGAACCTGCCTCTAATGAACCCATGCTGGCTGCAATGAACCCATGCTGGTTTAAGGCCATCTCTTCTATTTGGATCCATGTAAAACAGCATGTTATATTCGTTTGTATAGTTAAGAGAACTACCTCTAACTCTGGAGGGAGAAAATGTGGCATTTTACCCCATACTCAAAAATAATCACATTTGTAGATCCCAAATTTGCATTAGCAGTTAAAGTTATAGTAACAATTAACAAAATAATTCCTCAAAATAGTCTAAATCTTATATTCCTTGGGGGAGGTGCTCTTTACTTAAATAAAGATAAGGAGATAAATACATGTGAATATACCCCTCTTATTGGATAACTCCATTCTTTTCCATTAGATGCGTCATTGTGGTTATCCAGGCAGAAGCTGTTCCATTTGTTATCATTAAAAGGTGCAAACAACAGAACAGTGCACGCACAAAAAGATTTACACTGAACAGATAGAACAGCTTAACAAATTATGCTAGTTACTAGAATGGAAAAAGCCACTTGGCCGGTTAAGTATGCCTTTTAGACTTCTCTCTATTTCCTCCTCCTTACCTAGTTGCTGTATCATTTAGTTCAAAGGTACCTAATCTAATTCAGAGCCTGCCACAGTCCACAGTAAAGTAACATAAATGAAGTGTGTCTGCGCACATACACACCTTTCACTAGCAGAACCTTTTTCTGGAATTAAATTGTTGAGTGTCTTACAGCACATCTATAATTAGCCTAGTTTGCTTCTGCTTAACATCATGTGTGCCACAATTTTTACAAGACAACTCTGAAAAGCTTTCTGTTAATTGCTTTTATTCATTTTATCCCGTCTTAATCTTGCTCCTTATTACTCCATGATCTCAAACAAGAAAACAGCTGTTCCACAATAAGATCTAGGCTGTATTTTGTATAGATTTTATGAACACCATGTTTGTTGTAACATTTTTCATGAGAACAGTATCCACAGAGAACAAGA